AACAATGTATTCCTCTGGTTTCCTGAGCACAACTTTGGGTATAGTCACAACTGTGTAAACTAGAGTAAGGTTAGATGATTATCTCCTCTTGAAAAAATAGATGCAGTTGTATCACTTGGCAACCGCTGAAACACAAACCATGAAGCGGTGATAAACCTCTGACTGTTTATATAGGTATGCTAATATCCAGCAGCTGTCTATCGTCTCAGCTGAGTCTGCAGGGGTTATTTGGAAAATTGAATTATGTAAATGGAACATTTGATCTTAACTTATGATCTGCCAAAACTATGCACACTGTAGTTTTCTTTGTTCTGCAGATCTACTGTAGAGTAATAGTGTTGTATACTTAGATTTTTAGAAATTAATATACAGTATAAAGTAATTCTATGTTCCTTCCTAATCTACTTTTGTGAAACAAGGATATTTGCACATTCGGAAAGTCTGCTGTCAGCATTATTACTTATGTATTGTGTTATTGATGGAAATATGTTTTTGCAGCTCATTTTAAGGGATGTTATGATTTAATTTATTTAAAGCAGAAATGCACTGAAAAACTCAATGGAGAAGGAGATTTTGGCACAAGACGGGGTTCAGATTGCTACAGAGTTCGATGAGTACTGGCTCGGGACACAGGTGCTATTTAAAGTGGACCTTTCCCCCCTTTCAGTAAAATTCCCATCAGCATGTATCTCTGCAACACTTTTTGCAGAAACTCGAAACAGGCATCATGAAAATAAAGGGAAAAGCTAGTACTCTGCACACGTTCACTGGGTCATCGCCTCGGGCACTGATTCAACACAACTGTCCGGTAACTGGTATTTTTTTTTAAAGGTAGATGTCCGCAATGAGAGAATACATAATTTCTCATGACAGGTTTCTTTTGTGCTTTTTAAAAAGGAAAATGTTGTCTTACTGTATCATTACTTCCTTTCTTTTCAACTTAAGATATTGAGGTATTTTTAGTCACTTATCTTACCAAACTTATATTTGGACACATAAGGGGATATTTACTAAAACTGGTTCACTTAGAATGTGGTGCAGCTGTGCTTAGTAGCCAATCAACTTGAACTTCAGCTTGTTCAATAAAACTATTTTCAGCTTTGACAATAAAACCTGGAAGCTGATTGGTTACTATACACAACTGAACCAGGATTCTTGTTGCACTAGTTTTAGTAAACCTCCCCACAAAGTCTACCTTTAGCAAGCCCACCCTTGTTCTGAGACATATACTAGAATAAATCAGCTAAAATGTGGTAGTTTGGAGGTATGCCCCCTGCCCCCAGGCACCGCTCTCATCTACTTAGTGGCTAGTGAGCTGTCCAGGCCTATTGGAACAGCATCTATGGTCGTGCTGACCTAGACCCTGGACCATATTCCAAGCAGAAATCTGGTTCTGTCCATTGTGGTCCTAATTTGCTTTATTCTGAAGAAAAATGTTTAACGCAAGCTATCCCATTCCCTCTTCTACCATTACAATATGAAACTCCCCCTTGGTCCTATTGAGCAGAGAGCAGCATTTTAGCAGCCATTTGGCACACCTAGTGCTATCATAGAAACTTGGCCCTGTGTAAGCTCCCAATCAAACCCACTCGAAACCTACACATGGGGGTTTTTAGGTCTCCGGTAGCTGAAGCAAGTGGAAGGTGTCCGCAGCAAGGGGGTACCTTTTTCTATGCACTAAGTGGGTAAAGGACAGGTTTGCTTTCAATTTAGCTTGCAGCCCTAAATTTACTCTTGGGAAATGTGAATTCCATCATAGTCGAGTCCCCTTTTTCTCTCCCAAACCCCCCCTGTAATATGCTGCTGTGTGGAATTATACCGTGTTTGGTAAATTCTGCAGCCCTTCCACCTAATTTTCCTATATGTAACAGACAAGTGAATAGTACAGTTACATCATGAATTACATCAGAAATTTTATATTTAGAAATATAGACATTTAATATATAATAGAATTTATAATAGTTTTAATTCTCTGAATAATCTATACTTAAAAGATAATGTTTAGTCTTTGACACTTTAAAGTATTCCATACAAAAATAAAATGTAACAAAAAATAACTAGGAGCTTTAATACCTCATTTTTTACACTTACAGAAAAAATAGATTCAGCTACTTTAACATATTGCAATAACTGCTAGAAAGAGGTAAAGCTATGCCTGTGGTAACTTGACAGGACCCCAACCAAAACTTTCCTCGTCACTTTGGATAGAGCTGGGAAGTGTTACATCCTCTGTCTGGAGATTTTCCTTCACTTCTGTCACTGGAAACCTCAACAGCCTACAAGCTTAGTTCTGTGACATAATTGTAAGACAAGACTAAATAAAAATTAGAGTAAAGTCACTATATGGAGCAGGTATAAAAAACTGTACCTTTACATTAATGTGTTGTAACTGACCCCCCCCCCCCCCCCCAAACTATAGACACCAAGACCAAGCGACTGCAGTCCTCATCACTGAGCCAGCAGGCCATGGCATACTGGTATCTTCCTTAGGACTTGAGAGAAGCCACATACTTACAAACAAGGAGGGAAAAACCGCTTTTCCATTGGGTTCCATGAAGAACCAGCTCAGTATAAGGCCTAAATCTGTCTGAGTTGGTGTGAAGGAGGTTGTTGGCTGATCAGAGTAGAATAGAAGCAAGTATCTAAGGGATAAGAAGGGTGAGGTTGAGCAAGTAGGATTCTCCAATGAGCGTGGATTCACACATGTGCGGTGCGAACTGAAGCTCAGTTTTCATAGCTAATTGACAAAGTAGTTTGGCGTTTCAGGTCAGGTTTACATCAGGATTAGGTCAGGATTTTATCCTTTTCACAACAGAATGATGTGCAATTCAGAAGCATTCCCATAGAAGTCAGTGGGCCTGAATTCACACCTGAGCCAGATCGCACTACTCAGAAAACTGACAGAACTCTTTCAATTTGCACTGAATCCACACCCCAGCATATGTGAAAAGGCACAATAAAAAGCAATGTTCTTTCACATGTCATGCAAGTTGAATGTGGTTCAAACACATCCAATTCGCATATGTGTGAATCGGCTCAGAGTGATTTCCCATTGCTTTCTGACCCTTTCTCCCCCCCGAAAAAAAGAAGTGAGGGTGAACTCTCCTTAATGGGCCCACAAACAGCAAAAAACATTGACAGAGGCAATAAGCCTTCTCAAACATTTTTATTGGAGTTGATACTGTTAAGAGACACAGTTCATCAACTGTAGAATCTTATATATTCTAATTATTTGTGTTATGTGTAGTGTTAGTATCATTACAATTGACAAGAATCTGTTCAGCATTGGCCTTGGTGACCAAAACTGCTATGCACCCATGAAATGTTACTCACATACACATCAGGATCGGGGGTAATCAATGTTTTGTTGGTCAATATTTCTTTTAGAAATGCCACCACATACACTAACATTGACGTTCGGTGTGCAGAACAAACATACCGCTATTTAATCAAATCAGGCTGTAAACAGTCTTTTTTAAATAAAATAATAAACATGTTATGCATACCTGCCCTGTGCAGTGGTATTGCACAGAGCAGTCCCAAACCTCCTTTTCACAGGTCCGCCGTCCATGCTCTGGGCTCCTCCTTTTTTCAGTGCACCACCATTGGAGGCCACTTCTTATGGGGGCGCATCTGCAAGCTTGCTTTGAGCCAGGCTGTGTGTGTTTATTGACACACACAGCACCCCCTGCTCTCAGGATTTGACTGACAGCAGCAGGAGCCAGAAAGAGACCAGAACCGCTGCAGCCAGGCACAGCACTGGATCAAGATTGGGCTCAGTTAATTGTATAAGTGCAGGGGTGATACAAATACAGGGGCATTTTTTGTCTTAATACAGGAAACGCATGAAAGTAAAAATGAACCACTTTAACTTTTAGTTAGATTAAGGAAGGGTTGAAACCCTTGTCAAGTTATTTCTTGCTGTCTGTGTCCCGCTGGGGAGATTTTCTTCCATTTTGTCCTGGAGACACAACAAGAAATTAAGTTCTCATTGTGGAGAGTTGTCAAAGGAACAGGTGTCCATTGCCTGATTTCCCCCTCTTCATATGACAATGAAGGGTGAAACTCACCAATGGAGACCCAGCCAAAATAATAATTTATCAAATAGTTTAACTCTTCTTTACTCTATCCTAAACTAGGAAAAAAATTGTATTTACATACACTTTGAAGCATAAACAAATATAATTTTAATAAAAGACAGAAAAACATAAATACAAGGTCCTCCCTGTGCTACATATGAAATGTTGGGTGTAAGCTGGAACAGGCTTACTAACCTACATGGTTCCAGTGACACTTCCCAAATGCACAGCAGTAAAAGCCCCAATACAGAATTCTCCATACACTCCTACATAGGGTTCAACAACGGCACTTGACTTTTACATATAGATAAAGGAAATCTCTCTTTATGCAAAACACCTCTTTCAGACACTTCTGATGGAAATAGAACATTTCCAAATCCCACATGACATTTATTCAGAGACCATTAAGGTCTACTTATTTGACTGAATTCATTGTGCCAAAACTAGAAAGGGACCAGGAAGATGGAGAGTGGCTTTTTCCACCTGAGAATTCTTTGCCTTGTGAAAGTTTACCAGTAAAGCTCAATTTGATATAATGACTAATAAGGTCATTAAGTAGTAGCTGTTATATATTCAAACACTCTGGGTTACACCCAACATTTTATTTTCACACTGCACATCTAGATATTTTACATGGAATAAATGACTCAAATATTTCTTTGTGTTCAGCATTCTCAAATAATTACCCATAAAACAAACATGCACACCACCTTTCCATCATGGATCAATGACATTGTGATTTGGACCTTTTAGTCTTCTTGGGTGTTCATGCTATAGACTGAGAAGGAGCCCAATCTTCAGAGTTGATCCAGTGCATTGAGGGTGGATGAACCATACACAGTATGAGGTTTGGAATAGTTCTCTTTAGGCACAGAATGGGGTGCGTAAAGTTTGCAGACAGGACAAGGTTCTGCTTCTAGGTTACACAGCATTCATATGAATACCAGCCATTGGTATCTCTGTGACCGTCTCTGGGGTTATGCTCTTGATGAAGCGCTATAAGGGAGGCAAAGTAAAGTCAATAATGGTGACAACATTCAGAAACTTATAGAAGTAAATACAATTTCCCCCCCACTCAATTCCTGTTCTGGTGTCAACCCAAAATTGGAGATTTTCTTTTTCACTTTTGCTGTTAACAGTAAACAGGGCAAATAGAGAGTGAATCTCTCTAATGGGTGCGCATGCAGTAATAAAAACCTGACAGGGGTTCTAATTCTTCTCTACTCTATCCAAAACTAATTATGCGTTTTTTTTGTGTGGGGGGGGCTTTGACATATTCTTTAAAGCATAAGTACATCTCTGACATACATGTCCATCTCCCCATGTTTTATACCTTTAGGCTACATTCACACTGGCGAATAGAAAATTCCTGCCACTACTATTCGCACGGTCTCTGATTCCTGCTGCGGATCTCAGCGTGTAGGTGCGGCTGCTGGTCCTGTTCACTATGACAGGGCGCTGGGGCCTGCAGCTATTCGCTGCTGTCTGCACATTAGCCGATTAGCTTTGGTGATCGATGCTGGATGCATTTTGTGTGCAGTGATCACCACAGGTAATTGCTGGCTGTGCAGCGAGCCCTGAACAGATGCAGCCGCCAGCGACCTGTCAATATAGTGAACAGGGCTGACAGTGCACCTGCCCGCTGAGATCTGCAGCAGGAATCAGAATATTCCTGCCGCTACTATTCGCACTGACTCTAATTGCCACTCTGAATGTAGCCTTAAAGTTTTTGCTAGTTCAGAAGAATACCTGCTGGTCTGCCAGAAATGCACTCTGCTTTTGGGTTTAATACCACTTCAAGAGCTAACATACTGCAGCTTACCAATTCTTATATGTGATGGCTGCATTCGTTTTCTTTTTTAGGTTGTCTGTCTATTTTTCCTCTGGTGATCTGTCCAGTAAGTGTTTCTGGAGTTTGGTCTTCACTCTGTTAGTGCATTTAAATCAGCTTGGGGGGAAGAGTGTTGGATGCACTAGCAGACCATACTGCTATTCAAACGTGCTCTCTGTGCTCCTTCATCCAGAGTGGTGGCACTCTAATACAACGTGTGTTACTGGCCAGATCACCAAAGGGGAAAAAACCTAAGAAAAGAAAACTGATGCAGCCACCACATCTGATTGTTAAGCGGCCATATATTACATATTTGGTTTTGTTTTTAATACTGCTTTAAGCTTTTTGTAGGTTAATGCACAGGACTAAAGTGGTGTAAGGCTGTCAGGAATGGGTTCGCTTGCTGGTGGTACTGTGGCTGTAATTCTGGTGTCCATCAGTGGCTGCCAACAGCTCTTAGTAATTAGTCATCACCTGAAGCCGGTTGCTGGGAAGATATTTAGTCCTTCTCTGCTACTTCCGCTTGCTTTGGTGTTGTGTCCATATGCCCCTGATCTGTGAAACTTGTACCTGTACTCTGTTTCTGATCCTCGCCTGCCTGCTCTGCCTGCCTGCTTCTGTTCTCTCTCTCCTAACTTGCTCCCTTGGCCTGATCTCCTGGCTCCGACACGGACTGTGCTTTTCAGCCATATCCTACTGTCTGTATATAGTGTTTCAGTTGGTTTATGTAGTTTGTTCATCGTTAACACTTTCTCTCATCCATTGTATGTATTGCAGGTTAGTTTACATTATGGTCCATTTGTAGTAGCAAAGATTTGTTTCAGGGCTCCTAGCAAGCTCTGCAAGATACAGAAGCATTTGGCAACTTATGTGCCTGCTATACATTTCTGTCTAGGACACAGCTTCACTTCAGGGTACCAACAGCCATATTTTCATACAAAAAATTTGCATTTAGGCACTGCAGGATCCATTCACTAAAGTAGATCTCATGTGCTATAGAGGTGTCTAGACACTTTTTCCCTAAATATTGAATGCGATCCTGTAATTGTTAATTCACTAAGGCGTTTTGCAGTATTTACCGCAAAGCACTTGGTAACTACTGCATATAACATTAAACTCAATTCACAAAGGAAATAAATAAATGCATGTGGTAATTAAGAAGTGGTCCATGCAGTAGTTAAGGAATGTGTTGGATTTAGCTGGTTATGGAGCCAGAAGCCAACAGAATCTTTAACAACCAGTAACGGTCATGGTTGTTAAGGAGCGGGCAGCTGCCGTGCCCTTAACAACCGATGACTCATCAGATGTCAGCGGAGTTCCCGGCTGACAGCTGAATGTAAACTAAAGAAATGCTGGCAATTAAAAATCCCGTCTGGTATGGATTTTAAGGGGAACTCCACACCAAAATAAAATAAACAGCGTGGGGTCTCCCCCAAAATCCATGCCAGACCCTTATTCAAGCATGCAGCCTGGCAGGTCAGGAAAGGGGAGGGGAGGGAAAAGGTAGCTCTCCCCCCTTCTGAACCATACTAGCCCACATGCCCTCAACATGTGGGGGGTGCTTTGGGGGAAGGGAGCTTCCCCCAAAGCACCATGTCCCAATGTTAATGAGAACAAGGGCCTGTTCCCCACAACCCAGGGCTGTGGTTGTGGGGGTCTGCGGGTGGGAGGCTTATCAAAATCTGGAAGCCCCCTTTAACAAGGGGGCCCCTAGATCCCAGCCCCCCTTCCCAAGTGAATGAGTATGTAGTAATAGCACCCCTACTTATTCACCAAAAAAAGTGGTAAAAGCGGGTAAAACCACATATCTAGTTTTTGATAAGTCCTGTATTCAACCACCCCACCAAAAAAAAAAAAAAGTAAAAACAGATGTCCCCCAAAGTAGATCCAGTGTCAATCATGAACACTGGCCGCTGACCCAGGAAAAAAAAAAAAAAAAAAAAAAAAAAAGTCTTCACCTGACATTGGCTCTCACCAACTGACAGCTCCAGCCGCTAAATAAACTAAAGGGCAGCCCCACTTGATTATGTCAATGAGTGGCCCACCCCTTTATGTCCTCAGCTTTTTTATTTTTGGGTCTGCAGCTGGTGTTCATCGTGGTTGACGTTGGATCTACTTCAGGGGACATTTATTTTTGTTTTTTGGCGAGGTGAGGTTTGAATAAAGGACAAAAACTGGCTCTGATTTTTACTCACTTTCACCACTTTTTTGTTAGTGAGTCAGGGTTCTATGTACCCCATACTCATTTACACAGGACAAGGCGGGATCTGGGGGCCCCTTGTTAAAGGGGGCTTCTAAATTCCGAAAAGCTAGCTGCTCGCAGACCTCCACAACCACAGCCCAGCTTGTGACGATCCCACGATCGCTGTCACCAATATGTGACGAACACGGCGTCAGACCCCAGCCCTTCTCACCAAACTCGTGACCGAAGGACTAGCCAATCTAAAACCGCGATGTCACGTGTGTGACAATGCCACACCCAGCTGCACCCTGCGCAATGATTTTCCAGATAATTGGACCACAATCTATGTACCGGCAGCCTGAGTGATTGTTACTGGGTCAGGTTAATTACGCAATTAACCCTTCACACTGCCACCACCTCCTTTTTGTACAGAGAAAGAGGAAACTCAGCAATATCAGCAATAACACTATAATGGTTGAGATAATCGTCTATTACATGGTCACCGCAGGCCAGTTATACAGCGTAACCCTCTAAAGAGTAAACACAGTAGCTCTCTTTTTAGAGGCAGGAATTCGTAAATTGCAATTAAGAGCTATAAAAACAGCTCAACACTTTCAGAAGGCAAGATTTATTACTAAAAGGTCAAAAAGGGTGCAATAAAAATATTTACAGAAAAAAGATGTAACCATAATATATATAAATATACAGAGAACAACAGCACAGCAAAGAGGTAACAGAAAGGAGGTTAAAGGGTTAAAGTACTTGCCAATCAGCCTTGGGTTTGCAGATAAAGTTTCAAAGCGAAAGGGTACGGGTCTCCCCAGGTGGTACTGATGTTAAAAATGGGAGAATTCTTCAACTTACTCTTCTCAGGCCTGACAACCCAATTTGTAGTTCCCCAACAGGGGGTGTCTCTGAAGTCAAGGACCAATACCCCGTTTAGGGTGGGAACGTCTGGGCGTAGGCCTAAACTAGAGCCAAAATCTCTTTGGCTCATAACTTTCCATATGCATAAGTGACACTCCACCCACAGGTAGATTATTATGCAGACACGTCTGAGGATTGATTAGATATTAAATATGAAATTCTACATTGAATGGTTCACAAAATCTACTTTTCTGCTTTTCTATGTATTCCAACCATGGAGAGTGACCTATCAAGGATTGTTCGAACAATCCTCTTAGGTCAATCTGACAATATGCCTGGTTTTTATGTAAGTCTCTCATATTCCAAGATATGAGACATAGGGGAAAAATGGATTTTTAAAAAGGTTATCTGGTTCAAGTCTTTTGAACTGCTGGGTAGGCTGCGTTCTTTTTACGAGGTGTTAAATTGCACAGGTTCTTTTGACAGTGAGGCATTTCGTGGCTCCCTGCTGGGCTCTGGCCTGTGACACTTAACACACACACTGGCCAAATGTCACTGACTCTCAGAGAGGGAGGGGGAGAATTTAACTTAACAAAATGGAGGATTGGAGCAAAATGGTTGAACCGCGTCCATCTAAATGTGTATGCTTGCTACACAGCTGATGAGTCATCAGTTAAGGATGCAGCGGCCGCTTGCTCCTTAACCATGACAGGGCCTGGTATGGATTGGGGGGGGCACACCGTTTTCTTTCCCCTCAATTTTTAATTGCCGGCAATTTTTTTGTCTACATGCAGATGAATCATAGTTGTTAAGGACGCCAGTGGCTGCCTCTCCTCAAAGTAGTAGTGAACTCTTCTTTATTAATTTGACCTACAGGTAAGCTTATAATAAGCTTGGCCTTTTCTGATAGCCAGCGCATGCGCTCTGAAGGAATTGCAAACCCATGCTGTACCTTCAGAGCACTGTGCCATGGCACAAGAGTGACATCACAAATTGGCCAGTCAGCTGGCCACAGCTTGCGAACCTGGAAGAAAGTAAAGTAAAGATGGAAGCCCCAGGGATCAGTGAAAGCGCTCTACTGGAAGGCTTCATTTCAAGGTAAGTCCTTCATAATGTGCTAGTATGCAATGCATACTAGCACATTATGCCTTTACCTTGCAGGGGTTTCTATTTTTTTATGCAGTTTACTACCGCTTGAACAACAAGCTATTTACGGTTTGTTAAAATACCTCAAGCTTTCACTACTAAAATACTGCATCACTTCATAAAATAATGCATGTGGTGTTTTGGTAACGTTTTACTATGTAAACTGAATTTTTTTTTTTTTAAAAACACTACCACATTTCGTAAAAAGCAGTAGATATCGCTTCATGAATGGAGTCTTATACACTGACCGGCCACTTTATTAGGTGCACCTTGCTAGTACCGTGTTGGACCCCCTTTTGCCTTCAGAACTGCTTTAATTCTTCATGGCATAGATTCAATAAGGTGTTGGAAACATTCCTCAGAGATTTTGGTCCATACTGACATGACAGCATCACACATTTGCTGCAGATTTTTCGGCTGCACATCCATGATGCAAATCTCCCGTTCCACCACATCCCAAAGGTGCTCTATTGGACTAAAATCTGGTGACTGTGGAGGCCATTGGAGTACAATGAACTCATTGTCATGTTCCAGAAACCAGTTTGAGATGATTTGAGCTTTGTGGCATTATCCTGCTGGAAGTAGCCATCAGAAGATGGGCACACTGTAGTCATAAAGGGATAGACATGGTCAGCAACAATACTCAGGTAGGTTGTGGCATTTAAACAATGCTTTGATAATAAGGGGCCTAAAGTGTGCCAAGAAAATATCCCCCACACCATTACACCACCACCCCCAATCTGAACCGTTGCTACAAGGCAGGATGGATCCATGCTTTCATGTTTACGCCAAAATTCTGACCCTACCATTTAAATATCGCAGCTGAAATCGAGACTCATCAGACCAGGCAACATTATTCCTATCTTCTATTGTCCAATTTTGGTGAGCCTGTGTGAATTGTAGCCTCCGTGTTTTTGTTCTTAACTGACAGGAGTATCACCTGGTGTGGTTTTCTGCTGCTGTAGCACATCTGATTCAAGGTTCAACGTCTTGTGTGTTCAGAGATGGTATTCTTCATACCTTGGTGGTAACAAGTGGTTATTTGAGTTACTGTTGCCTTTCTATCATCTCAAACTAGTCTGCCCATTCTCCTCAGACCTCTGACATCAACAAGGAATTTTTGTCCACACAACTATATTACTATATATATATATATATATATATATATATATTTATATATATATATATAATTTTTGTCCACACAACTATAACTATATTTTTTTTTCTTGTTCAGACCATTCTCTGTAAGAGAGACGGTTGTGTGAAAATCCAAGCAGATCAGCAGTTTTTGAAATACTCGGACCAGCCTGTCTGGCACCAACAACCATTCCATGTTCAAAGTCACTTAAATCCCCTTTCCCCTGATGCTCAGTTTGAATTTCAGCAAGTCATCATATCTAGATGCCAAAATGCTTTGAGTTGCTACCATGTGATTAGCTTATTAGCAATTTGTGTTACAAAGCAATTGAACAGGTGTACCTAATAAAGTGGCCAGTGAGTATGTTTCTCATATAAACACATGTATATTTATGCTTATATTTTATCATTTTAAAAAAATTAATTTATAATAGCTTTGCAGTGATTAGGCCTCCCACTAATCTTGTAATTACAGTGTAGTTTATATTTCCTGGAAAAAAAAAAAAAAAAAAAAAACATGGTATCAAGCATGTTGCTAGCACCGAGTCCCGGGTCATTTTACCATACCTACCCGCCACTTCATTAAGCAGCATCTCTGAATGCTGTGCTGCCTGTCAAGTAAATACATTTCAGAGTCCAAGGAGGCTTCCCTAGGCTCATCCTCGAGTCTAATGTGTCACCCGAGGGGGAGCCTAGAAGCAATCTCCTGCTTGCTGTGCTGCACCAGGTCTGATGAGCTCAAGGACGGCGGGGGTAGATCATGTAAGGTCCATGGTGACCTGAGGCATGGATGTTAGGAGACAAAGATTTGTGCTAAGAGGAGAGACTTGGGGAGGAGAGGTTTTGTGGGGGGTGAAGACTTTGTGCTGAGAGGACAAATGTCAAAAGATTTGTTGTTGCAGAGCTAAACATTTCAGCAGAGGGGGAGATTTGTAGTGCAGTTGTTTTTTGAGGAGGAATTTCGGGTTGCAGAGAGAATTTGTGCTGGGGGGGTGAAAACATGCAGATCAGTGCTGGATATTTTTTTGGGAGGGGGGAACTATTGCTGAGAGTTGAATTGGGGGGGGGGGGGGGGGGGGGGGGGTGGGGCGGGGGGGGGGAGTATTGCTTGCAAGGGAAATTTTTGCACTAATCTGAATCCTGCACTCTGTGTATTTCACACACCTGTCACCTACGCATTCTGTATTATCTACACGTGACTCCTGCATACTTTGTGTTACACAACTCTGACACCTGTATTGGGTAGTTACACACCCCTGACCCCTGTACCCTGTGCATTATGTACTCCTGAGCCCTACAGTTTGTGCATCACACATCACTGATGCCTGTACTCTGTGCATCACATACTTCTGACCTCTGCACTTTACACACTTTTGATACCTGCACTTTGTGTGTTAAAAAACCCCGAACCCCATGCTCTGTGTGCCACGCACATGAAACCTGCACTCTGCATTAAGTACACTTGACCGCTTCACACTGTGTTACATATCCCTTACCACCCTGCTCTCTGTGCATAATACACTCATGACCCCCTTCACTCTCTGCGTGACACACCCCTGACTCTGCTACACACTTTTGACATCTATGTGTTATACACTTCTAAGCCTTCAAAATGGTGCATACACACCCCTGACCCCTGCATTTTGCACCTTAAGTACTTCTAACCCCAGCACTCTATGCTGAACTTACACTTGATCTTTGCGCTCTGTGCATAACGAGCTCCTGACCCCTGCACTCTGTGTGTTATGTGCTTCTAAACCTTGCATCCTGTGTGTTATGTACTCCTGAAGTTATGTACTGACTTAAATACTGCTAACCCCTGCACTTTGTGCTACACATACTCTTGGTCCTTGCGCTGTATGCATTATGTACTCCTGATCCCTGCACTCTTTGTATTACATGCCCTCCTACAATATACCTCTACAGGCTAGATAATGGTACTCTGACTGCCATTAGGTATCAGGGTGAAATCCTTGGACCCACTGTCAGACCCTACACTGGTGCAGTGGGTCCTTGGTTCCTCCTAGTACACAACAATGCCTGGCCTCATGTGGTGAGAGTATGCAGGCAGTTCCTGGAGGATGAAGGAATGAATACCACTGAATGGCCCCCATGCTAGCCTGACCTAAATCCAATAGAACACCTCTGGGATATCATGTTTTGGTCCATCAGACGCTGCCGGGTTGCACCTCAGATTGCCCAGGAGCTCAGTGATGCCCTGGTCCAGATCGGAGAGAAAATTCCCCAGGACACCATCCGTCGTCTCATTAGGAGCATGCCCTGACATTGTCAGGCATGCATACAAGCACGTGGGGGCCACACAAACTACTGAGTACCTTTCTGAGTTGCTGCAATGAAATTTCAGCAAAATGGATTAGCCTGCTGCATCATTTTTTCACTTTGATTTTTGGGGTGTCTGAATTCAGTCCTATCTGTAGGTTGAAGGTTTAATTCAATCAAACGATGGGGCGTCCTTATGTTCCTCCCCCCTGTCACCCCCACACACACCACATACTCTTCTTGGGGTGCCCCTGGTCTTTTAAAATCAAGCAAAACACAAGCATGGTAAGACTATGTTCAGAATTTTCTTGCATGCACATATTGATCTTTAGTATCAGACCCCTCACCTCTTTTAACGATCCAGGAGTACTAGCTAACCGGTACACCATGTACACTGGAACGCAGATGAAAGAGGAAGTCCCAATGCAGTAGCCAAGCACAACAGACCACCCTGGGTATGTGTAATTAAAAAGACGGAGTTCTGGGGGACTTGACATAAAGCTGCAAATAATAAACTGAAAAAAGGTAAAACAGGTAATTGTAAAATGCAACATAGTGAAGTCAATACATCCAACATAATCAGTTTAATTCGTCAATCTGTGATAACATGTAAAGTATGCAAAAGTGACATTTCAATCAATATTACATGGGTTCATATTCCAAGAGAGGCCATTTTACCATGCCTTAAAGATTAATTAAACTTTTAACCTCCCTAGCGGTCTGATTATGTCAGTATTTCTGTGCTCAAAGCGGTACATTTTGTGCATGGAAATATGTAGATTTTTTATTGTAGGCCTGTAATTTTTCAGGAATAACTCACTAAAATCTGTCCGAACAAGACTCTAGTAAACATCCCGGGTATGTTAAAATTTGAAACCCGAAATCATAAATTATAATATAATAAATCATAAAAAAATAAAATAATAAATTTAATTAAATAATATAATCAAACCAAAAACACTGAAATTTGTAAAATAGCGCCTAGTTCGCACATCACTGAGCAAAGTCGCAAAATCGTTTTCAGTGTCTGATGATGAATTTCCCCACGAATCATTATCACTCAATTCTGCAAGTAGTTCTAATTTACTATCGCTGTTCTCTAGCTGGTCTAAAACCGCTTTTGACCTAAAGGGACACTTTTTGGACGCCATGGACTTTTCTCAGTTTCCAGGCAGAAAGAACGGTAAAAATGCAGGCAGGGCACAGGACAAAGCACTCGGGACAAAATGTATGTGAAATGGTTTGATACAGTAATGTATGTGAAATGGTTTGATACAGTAATGTTTTACTATGTGATTTTAGTGTATTTAGTGAATGTCACTTTTTCACATTTTTAAATTTCCCACTATTCCGTCCCCATATGTCCTGAACGGAAGAACGGAACTCGGAAGACAGATGCTGGCATCGGCCGGAGGACATTGCCGGGGACACTGCAGGGGGGAAATCGTGGGAGTAAAAGACAAGGTAAGTGAAGAAGAGATCCCAGAGCAACGCTGCAGGGTATTCCCGAGTGTAGCTGGGGGTTACCGCTTGTGGTGCTGAAACGTTACCCCAAGCTACACTCGGGAATACCTCCAGGGGGGTTAATCAGCTAAATACATTTCAGATGCATCAAAACAACAGTTGTACAAAGTTTGACATGGCTGTTTTCTTTAGAAATCAGCAAACTGGTCTGAGTATGAAAGCCTGTCCCCTGACAGCATGCTGAAGAGAAGGACCCTTTCTCTCTCTGTTTCTCTCTGTGCAGAGGTCTATGTTGTTCTTCTATGTATATGTATTTCTGCTGTTCAATAGAGATACTCGCCTTCCATTATCTCCTGAGGAAGCGGGCATAGTGCCAAAGAAACGTATTGAGCAAAGTTTCCCTACATAACAAGATGACACAGCTGGAGTGATTTTGCCTCTGGTTATGTGTGGAAATGTAAGTACTGGGGACCTTGGAGAGAGGTGTGCTGGTATCCATTATATACAAATATCTTGAACAGCACAACTATGTTTTTAATGTATTGTTTATATGCTCTTTTTAACCTGTTTCAATCCAGCCAATAGCAAAATGACAGCCAAGCAGGGCTCTCATCAATCCGGGTGGGCATCATATGATGTCCTTCTGGATCACACCTCGAGAGTGCCAGTGGGGCTATGCTATAGCGAGATCTGTCACCGGCTGTGTACCTGGGACACAGACAATGACAGATAGGTGTACTGTCCCTGTTGCCAGTACCATGTGACCACTCACAGCAGGTCAAATGACAATTGTAAACAATGGATGGCTTCCTTTCATGCCATCCATTGTATACAATTGTGTTACTAGTTTATGATTGGTCACAGTGATCACATGTACAAACTTGGCTAATCACAGCCAATCTGTGTCATGTGATTATATGTGGCCAATCACAGCTAGTCACAACAAAAAAACCTGAATTAATTGATTTTATTCAGTTAAATGCTTGCATTAACAAATAAATTATTTTCTATAAGCAATCAATGTGTAAAAAAAAATACTGATCACTCCCCCAGAGTGGGGTATGGCATCATACTACTCTGGGTCACAGTGTGTTAAGAAAAAAAAAATTGTAAAAAAATTTATATTTTTTTTCCATATTGTCACCAGTCAGTGTTCCTGATCACCTCCACACCAGTTATGATGATGTTGTACTGTACAGGTGAGAGTTTGTAGAAATAAAATTGTGAAATTTGTTTTTTTTTAATTTCTTTATTTTCCAAAAAAATGACAAAAAAAATTGACAAAAATAAAAGTTCACACAATAAAACTCGCCATGCCTCTTACTAAATACCTCAGACTTTGCACTACTTTGCAAAATGGGGTAATTTGGGGGATCTCTACTGTCCTGACATTTCTGGACCTCAAGAAATTTGATTGGCCGTCAGTACTTCAGGATTGATCGATTTTCAGATACTGTATATACCAGGGGCAGACTGACAACTCATGGGGCCCCCGGGCAGTAGGGGATCATGGGGCCCCTGTGTCCTTGCCCAAACTCCAAAAAGCCTATGGAAAAGGTACCAGGGGCATCTCATGGGGCCCCCTACTGACCCCAGGCCCTCGGGCAGTGCCTGAGTTTCCAAATGGTCAGTCCGCCCCTGGTATATACCATAGTTTGTGAACTCTATAAAACTTTCCTACAGACTAAATAAATACTGATTTGGGTTATTTTTATCAAAGAAATGCAACAGAATACATCTTGGCATAAATTTATACAGAACAATTATTTGCAAACTTTTATAACAAACGAAGAAAAAAAAGTGTTTTTTTTTTCCAAAAGTTTCGGTCTTTTATCTTTAGCTTAGCAAAACATAAACCCAGTGGTGATTAAATACCACCAAAAGAAAGCTCTAGTTGTGTAAACAAAAAGATAAAAATGTAGTTTGGGTACAGCATGACCGCGCAATTATTTAAAGTGTGACAGCACTGAAAGCTGAAAATTGGCCTGAGCAGGAAGTGGGTAAAAGTGCCCGGAACTGATGTGGTTAGGAATAAACATAAATGAGAATTTTTATATAGTTCCCAATTTGCAGAGTACCTTTATAGTCCTATAGTTTTGTGGTTAGGGTCAATATTATATCTACCAAAAGTAGGGTTGTTGGTACCAATTCTAATTGAAGATTACAATTATCAGCCTTTATTTTTCTTAAAACTACGCTTTGTAAGACTATCTGGTGTATGTCCAGCTTGCCCATATAATATACCTTATTTTGTTTATTCATAGCTCCCAACTGTGCCTTTTTTTGGAAGGACTGTCCCTCTTTTTGGAAACAAATCCCTTTGTCCCTCTTTTAACTCCAATTATGCTTTTATTTGGCATTATATACAGCGAAGGAAATAAGTATTTGATCCCATGCTGATTTTAAATGTTTGCCCACTCACAAAGAAATGATCAGTCTAAAAAATCGAATGGTAGGTGTATAACACAGAGACAGATTAGCAACAACAAATTCCAAAGAAATGCATTTCTAACAAATTATGCACTGATTTGCATGTTCATGAGGGAAATAAGTATTTGATCCCCTTAAAACAAAACATGACTTAGTACTTGGTGGCAAATATCTTGTTGGCAATCACAGAGCTCAGACATTCCTGTAGTTGGCCACCAGGTTTGCAGACATCTCAGGAGGGATTTTGGCCCACTCCTCTTGGCAGATCCACTCCAAGTCATTAAGGTTTGGTGGCTGATGTTTGGAAACTCGAACTTTCAGCTCCCTCCACAGATTTTCAATCAGATTAAGGCCTGGAGACTAGCTAGGCCACTCCAGGACCTTAATGTGCTTCTTCTAGAGCCAATCCTTTGTTGCCTTGGTCATGTGTTTTGGATCATTGTCATGCTGGAACACCCATCCACGACCCATTTTCAATACCCTGGCTGAGGGAAGAAGGTTCTCACCCAAGATTTGACAGTACATTGCCCCATCCATCGTCCCTCTGATGCAGTACAGTTGTCCTGTCCCCTTAGCAGAAAAACACCCCCCAAAGCAGAATGTTTCCACCAAATTGACAGTTGGAATGATGTTCTTGGAGTCATAGGCAGCATTCCTCCTCCAAACACGGCGAGTTGAGTTGATGCCAAAGAACTCGATTTTGGTCTCCTCTGACCACAACACTTTCAACCATTCCTCCTCTGCATTATTCAGATGTTCAGTGACAAACTTCAGACGGGCCTGGACATGTGCTTTCTTGTGCAGAGGGACCTTGCGGGCACTGCAGGATTTCAATCCTTGTCGGCGTAGTGTGTTACCAATTGTTTTCTTGACTGTGGTCCCAGCTGCCTGGAGATCATTGACAAAATCCTCATGTAGTTCTGGGATGATTCCTCACTGTTCTCATGATCATTAACACTCCACGAGGTGAGATCTTGCATGGTGCACCAGACCTAGGGAGATGGACAGTTTTGTGTTTCTTCCATTTGCGAATGGTTGCACCAACTGTTGTCACCTTCTCACCAAGTTGCTTGGCGAAAGTTTGGTAGCCTAGTCCAGCCTTGTGGAGGTCTACAATCTTGTCCCTGACATCCTTGGACAGCTCTTTGGTCTTTGTCATGGTGCAGAGTTTGGAATCTGATTGTTTGATTGCTCCTGTGGACAGGTGTCTTTTATACAAACAAAATGAGATTAGCAGCACTCCCTTTAAGAGACTGCTTCTAATCTCAACTTATTACCTGTATGAAAGACATCTGGTAGCCAGAAATCCTGCTGAATGATAGGGGATCAAATACTTATTTCCCTCATGAACATGCAAATCAGTGCATAATTTGTTAAAAATGCATTTCTTTTGAATTTTTTGTTGCAAATCTGTCTCTCAGTGTTACAATACACCTACCATTCGATTTTTAGATTGATCATTTCTTTGTGAGTGGGCAAACATTCAAAATCAGCAGGGGATCAAATACTTATTTCCTTCACTGTATATAATGCCAAATAAAAGCAGCACAGTAGTGACATCACCAAATCTTACTCCAAATCTCCTGAGACTAACAGTCAAAGGCAGAAATCCCATAGACCGGCAAACTGTCGACTGCGGACAGGTGAAAGGTAGACTGCGAACAGGTCCCTCCTCCCCCCTTTTCCCCCAGCCTGACAACCAATCTCCTGCGGGTTAATATGAAAAGTTAATTTGGCTAGTTCCTCCTCCCGCTCTCCATCCTGAGCCATTCTGCCTTCTGCTGTGCACTGAGGATGTCAGCAGCGAGAAGAGGCTGGGGGAAAGGGGGGAGAAGACATTGCTTGGGGGGGGGGGGGGGGGGTCTGGGGCCAGAGATCACTGCTACTGGGGAAAGGGGGGGGGCAGTGATGTGCAGAGGACAGTGCTTTGGACAGGGCCACCCCCATAGCAGTGTCCTCTGCCACCCTTATTATGACACCGCCCACCCCCAAGTTGGGTCCTCTGCCCCCCCTTTCCCCCATAGCAGTGACCTATAGCCCCCCTTCCCCCCGACCAGCAGTGTCCTCTCCCCACCCCCCCTTTCCTCCCACGGACAGGTATTTTAGAAACCTGAATTCCCATCAAGTGGCTGAAGATCAGGATTTTTCTGCCCCCCACCCTGGTTCCCTAAGGCAGCTGCCTAAGCAGCCTTATACTAGCACCCAGCATACAGCTGCTTTGGCAGCTGCTTTAGGGCCCCAGGGTAGCTGAGAGGCAGAAAAATCCCAATCCCCAGCCAATTGCTGGGAATTCACTTTTTCAAAATACCGGTCTTCCGATGAACCCCTTTATTGTCCTCTTGCAGCAGCGGAATAGTAGCATCTCCTCCTCGGCCTCCCACCAGCATATAGCTGCTGCAGGAGGAAAATCCAGGGGATTGGTTCTAGTAAAGGCCCCCCCCGCTGCCCCTTCCACCCTTGTTCCTCCTTTTTTCTGCTGACTGGCCCTTCCCCCAAGTGCTCCCCTTTCATCAGGTATCCTAAAGAAATTGTGAAAAATATAAAAAAATGAAAATGTAAAAATAAAAAAACTGCTGACACCATCCACTATCCTACTGACACCCACCTCTTCGCTACTGGCACTGTCCACTGCTCTACTGACACCATCCACTGCTCTATTCACTGGCAACAACCTCTGCCCTATTGACAATGTCCACTGCCCTCCTGATTAAACACGGTTTTTAAGGTAGGCTAAGTTTGTATTTTACAGTGACATTTGTTTTATTATATTTTTCTTACTATTTAGTTAGGCCTTACTAGTTAATTTGTTTTTTAAATGGTGCTGAACCCCAGCGATCTTTGATCTTTCATGTTGTGGGGTAGATCTCAACCTCTAAAAGGTTGCCTACGCCTGCCGTAGGCTATCTCTGACTGCAGATATACAGTTATGCTGTTGTAGACACAGGAATCTCCTGAGACTAGCAGCAGTGTCCATGATTCACAGTGCAAATATACAGCTATGAGGCTGTAAGCAGAGGAGTGCCTAGGCACCTTCACATTCCAGGACATGGACTGCTTTTTTCTGGAGGAATTTAGATAAGGGGAACCACTTAGGCACAATTTACAAAATGTTTCCAATAACATAGCATAATTTTCATATTTTGAGTTTAGCTTCACTTTAACAATCATATACTGCACTATACCTTTCATCCTTCCTTTAAATTCTCATATTTGTAATTTTGAAGCAATTATAAAGGATCAAAGTGGTAAAGCATTTCTGGGTTTAACCAATTATTTTTGGTGTATTATCATTCAAGGTTTGTGTAATGGGGGCAGGACGGGTTTTTTTTTGTATTTTGCAAACATACTTTGTGGCTAAGTATCATCTTAGAAAATATGTTCATTGCCTTATGGGCAAAAAAAAATCCTTGACCTCCACCATTTTGCATTATAGTCTGTTTACATACTGTATGGGTTTTGTTGCCCAGTTTAATATACATACAAACAGTATATCCACACGCTGTATATATATATATTTATAGAATTTGGTAACACCATTTATGCTACAAACTCCTTGAAGATTTCCAGTAAAATCTGTTGCTAAATAAATATCTGCAGTTGATTAATGGTCTGGAATAAGAGATATAAGCCTGCAGTAAGAACATGTTATTTTTATAACTACTGAGCATAAAATAAAATGTGTTTCTCTTTTTTACTCCTACTCATTACCAATGTTTTACTACAGTGCCTGGGTAGTGATCACAACACAGCTCTATTCATCATCCATAGTGTATGGAGCCACAGCAATCTCTGGGAATCGTATCTATTTTTACACAGCTAATAAAAGGGAAGAGATTAACCAGGAGCTTCTGCAACATCTCACCCACATGTAAACCTGTTCCTTTCATTAACTGCTCCTGAGCTGGACTATTAATGACCGTCCACACACAGAGCAGTCGTTTGGGTACTCAGGGGTGCAGACAACAGTTAATACACAGATAATAAAACTCACTTAAGAAGGTTAAGCCCCTAGTTCAGGTCACAGGCTGATGCCAGCTCCACGTCAGCTTGTAGGATGATATTGTTCAGGCCTCAGTATTTTGGCTTATTTGCTGAGGCTTTTTATATTACAAATGGATCCCATGCCAAATGTACTTTGTGACTTTGGTGTAGTTTCAAAACTGATGTGTGTAGTGATAATGAACTACATGAACAAAAGTTTAGTAGACCTCTTCTCTACTGTGTACTATGGAGACAGCATCACACAAGCCATTGAACATTGTACTTAAAAATGTGGACTAGGACTAATGGAATCACATTATTTTAGATCACGCTGTAATATGCTGTGTTTGTTTTTGCTGGCTATCTAAAGTTGCTTACATATCGAAAGGCTGCACTAAATGGCCTACTCACCAAGAGAAACAGTGGACAGATTGCCACCCAGCAAATCCTCCAGTACCAGCCAGGAGTAAAGCCTAGCATTTCCCTGACATCCTTGCAGAACTGAGTGATACCTGAAATAAAAGCAAATAATGTCAGTTTACTGCCAACAACAATTTAAGCCCTGTACACACGGACCAAATATCACCAAAGTACAAGAAACCGGCCAACATTCGCCCCATGTTTACAGGTTGGCCAACAGAAGCCGATCTCAAGACCAGCTTCTGTTGAACAAGCATGCTGGAAAACCAGCAGCTGATCAGCATCAGATCAGCGCTCTCAGCCAATGCAAGTGCTGATTGGTGTGTTCTGCCAGGGGGAGGGAGGTGGTCCCCCTGTCAGAGCACAATAGCACAGTGGGGAGATTGCTGTACTAACATCACATAGTACAGCGACCTCCTCGTGAGTTCCTCAGTTTTTTTTTTTTGTTCCGTTCAGCACACTGGGCTGAATGAAAATGAACTTAGCGTGTGTACCAGGAATTATATTTTATAAATGTTGTAATGAAGAGACAATTCCACTGGCATAGCTGTTACACAGCAACAGGTGGGATAACACATGTAATCCTGTTGAAACAGATTTGCTGCCAATCTAAACAGGTTGTATGTACTGTATATTTACTGATAAGTTCCACATACAATATAAAGCGGGGTGAAGAGGGGCCCTATTTTGGTGGAGTATTTGTCTTGCTTTAACTCAGTGGTGACATGATTCTGTAAAATAGTTGCACATACAGTATCTCACTGAAAAGATAGAATAAAATATTTACAAGTGAGTACACCCCTCACTTTTGTAAATATTTAATTCTATCTTTTCATGTGACAACACTGAAGAAATGACACTTTGCTACAATGTGACGTAGTGAGTGTACAGCTTGTATAACAGTGTAAATTTGTTGTCCCCTCAAAATAACGCAACACACAGCCATTAATGTCTAAACCGCTGGCAACAAAAATGAGTACACCCCTAAGTGACAAGGTCCAAACTTGGGCCAATTAGCCATTTTCCCTACCCAGTGTCATGTGACTCGTTCGTGTTACAAGGTCTCAGGTGTGAATGGGGAGCAGGTGTGTTAAATTTGGTGTTATCTCTCTCATTCTCTCATACTGGTCACTGGAAGTTCAACATGGCAACTCATGGCAAAGAACTCTGAGGATCTGAAAAAAAAAAAGAATTATTGCTCTACAAAGATGGCCTAGGCTATAAGAAGATTGCCAAGACCCTGACACTGAGCTGCAGCATGGTGGCCAAGACGATACAGCAGTTTAACAAAACAGGTTCCACTCAGAACAGGGCTAGCCATGGTTGAACAAAGAAGTTGAGTGCACGTGCTCAGCGTCATATCCAGAGGTTGTCTTTGGGAAATAGATGTATGAGTGCTGCCAATATTGCTGCAGAGGTTGAAGGGGTGGGGGTTCAGCCTGTCAGTAATCAGATCATATGCCGAACACTGCATAAAATTGGCCTGCATGGCTGTCGCCCCAGAAGGAAGCCTCTTCTAAAGATGATGCACATTAAAGCCCACAGTTTGCTGAAGACAAGCAGACTAAGGACATGGATTACTGGAACCATGTCCTGTGGTCTGATGAGACCAAGATAAACATATTTGGTTCAGATGGTGTCAAGAGTGTGTGGCGGCAACTAGGTGAGGAGTACAAAGACAAGTGTGTCTTGCTTACAGTCAAGCATGGTGGTGGGAGTGTCATGGTCTGGGACTGCATGAGTGCTGCCGCCACCGGGGAGCTACAGTTTATTGAGGGAACCATGAATGCCAACATGTACTGTGACATACTGAAGCAGAGCATGATCCCCTCCCTTTGGAGACTGGGCAGCAGGGCAGTATTCCAACATGATAAAGACCCCAAACACACCTCCAAGATGACCACTGCCTTCCTAAAGAAGCTGAGGGTAAAGGTGATGGACTGGCCAAGCATGTCTCCAGACCTAAACTCTATTGAGCATCTGTGGGCCATCCTCAAATGGAAGGTGGAGGACTGCAAGGTCTCTAACATCCACCAGCTCCGTGATGTCATCATGGAGGACTGGAAGAGGACTTCATTGGCAACCTGTCAAGCTCTGGTTAACTCACTCCATGCCCAAGAGGGTTAAAGGAGTGCTGGAAAATAATGGTGGCCACACAAAATAGACACTTTGGGCCCAATGTGGACATTTTCACTTCGGGGTGTACGCACTTTTGATGCCAGCAGTTTAGACATTAATGTCTGTGTTTGAGTTATTTTGAGGGGACAGCAAATTTACACTGTTATACAAGCTGTACACTCACTACTTTACATTGTAGCAAAGTGTCATTTCTTCAGTGTTGTCACATAAAAAGATATAATAAACTAGAAAAGCTGCAATTTCTGGGGAAATTGTGTGAAATGTTCTTGCCTCCACCAGTAGTCTACAACGGGAGTGGGCGGAGTAAGTGGGTGGAGTGGCTTGAGTAACTGTTGTGTGGTTGGTGTGGCTGGAGTAACTGTGAAAAGGTTGGACTGGGCAGAGTAACTTTATGAAATGGGTTAAAAACTCATGCAACTCACTCTACAGCAAGGGCAGAGAAGAGCAGTTAAAAACAAACTGCTCCAACTTGCTAACTTCACTGGTGGTTGCCATTTTCAAATGGTTGTAGTTTAAAAATTATAAAACCTACACCGAAGAGCTTTATATTGTGAGAATCACAAGACCCAGACCTACATTTTGATGCATAGTATGTCTCTGAAATATTAAAAATGAAGGCACAGTCACAGTTTAGAAATTGAAATTCAAATTTGAGGTGGCTAGAGTGGAGTTTCAATGAATGTCAATGGGCGGCTTGAGTTGCAAACAAATGGTCATATTTGAAAACTATCAGGACTATGGCTTAGCCGTGAACATTTTTAGTGGCAGCGAGGATAGCTGAACGTTTTGATATAGGATTTGTGTAGGTGGGCTTGAAAATGAGGGAGTGATGGCAGTTTAGAAACCAGGTCCTGATTTTCCAGCTCACACTCTAGCTTTTGTCAGCTCCCACTCTAGTTTTGAACATTCCGCCATTCATTCCTATGGGACCAATTTCACCACAAAAATGGTGATATTTCATGAACCATTCGGCGAAACATTCCACAAAGTAATAGCACACCAATCAGGAACAATCCGCACGTTTTGGTATATTACTGTCTATGTAGTGTAAAAACTGGGAGGAGTTAGGGTGGTAAATTTGGCTATAATAAGAATATACAGTATATGTAAGATAACAGTAAGTGGTCTTGCCATGCAAGAGCACTTAAATATTTACAAAAATGTGAGGGGTGTACTCACTTCTGTGAGATATTGTATGTCTAGACAGAAGGGGAGAGTGCATAGAAACCAATCAGCTTCCAGCTTAAGTTAACAAGCTGAAGTTAGAAGCCGACGGGCTACCATGCACTGCTATACCAGATTTTGCACTCTCCAAATTTATTCATTGTACAAAAATTGCATCTACCACTGAGCTAAACACTCCCCATATCACAATATATACAGTTTGGTCTATATATATTTGGACACAGGCACAATTTTAGTTTCAATTTCAGGTATTTACCAAAACATATTCAAGCTATAGTTAAATAAATATGGGCTGAAAGTGCACACTCTCAGGTTTCATTTGAGGGTATGTACATCCAAATTGGAGGAAGGGTTTAATAATTACAGCCACCATTTCATGGCCAGGTATGGGTTACTCAATTATTTCTTCATCAATTAAGCAGGTAAAAGGTCTGGAGTTGATTCTAAGTGTGGTATTTGCATTTGGAATCTACTGTTGTGAACCTACATCATGCGTTCAAAAGGAGCTGTCCACGCAAGTGAAACATGCCATTGTAAGGCTTCAAAATCAAAACAAATCCATCAGAGAGATAGCAGCAACATTAGAAGTGGCCACATCAACAGTTTGGTACATTCTGAAGAAAGAAGAATGCACTGGTGCGCTCAGCAACATAAAAAGGCATGGATATCCACGGAAGACAACAGTGGTGGATGATTGCAGGATCTTCTCTATGATAAATAAAATCCCATTTACAACATCCAGACAAGTGAAGGACACTCTCCAGGAGGTGGGCGTATCATTGTCAATGTCTACATTCAAGAGAAGACTTCACGAGAGCAAATACAGAGGGGTTCACCACAAGGTGCAAACCATTCATAAAGCTGAAGAATAGAAAAGCCAGATTAGGCTTTGCCAAAAAAACATCTAAAAAAGCCAGACCAGTTCTGGAAAAGCATTCTTTGGATGGATGAAACTAAGATTAATCTGTACCAGAATGACGGGAAGAAAAAAGTGTGGAGAAGGCTTGGAACAGTTCATGATCCAAAGCACACAACGTCATATGTAAAACATGGTGGAGGCAGTGTGATGGCATGGGCATGCATGGCTTCCAGTGGCACTGGGTCATTGGTGTTTTTGTTGATGTGACAGAAGACAGAAGCAGCCGGATGAATTTTGCTGTGTTTAGAGATATACTGTCAGCCCACATTCAGCCAAACGCAGCAAAGTTGATTGGACAGCGCTTCACAGTACAGATGGACAATGATCCAAAACACACTGCAAAAGCAACCCAGTAGCTTTTGAAGGAAAATAAGTGGAATATTCTGCAATCACCTAATCTCAACCCAATTGAGCATGCATTTCACTTGCTGAAGGCAAAACTAAAGGCAGAAAGACCCACAAACAAAGAACTGAAGACAGCTGCAGTTAGAGTCTGGCAAAGCATCAGAAAGGAGGAAACCCAATCTTTGGTAATGTCCATGGGTTCCAGATTCAGGCAGTCATTGCCAGTAAAGGATTATCAAAAAAATATTAAAAATGAACATTTTATTTATGATTATATTCATTTGTCCAATTACATTTGAACCCCTGAAAATGGAGGGGTTGTCTAAAAATGGTTGCAGTTCCTAAAATTTTACTTGATATTCATGATATTCATGTTCAACCCCTTGAATTAAAGCTAAAAGTCTGCACTTCAATTCATTAGCATTGTTTCATTTTAATTTATTCTAGTAGCATACAGAGCCAAAAATGTGAATACTGTGTCCAAATATATATGGCCCTAACTATATACATATATACACATACATATACACACACACATATATACACACACAGTATATACACACACATACACACAGTATACACACACACACACACTATATTGCCAAAAGTATTGAGATGCCCTCGAAATCATTGGATTCAGGTGTACCTGAAAACAGCAACTCAGTCACCAAGTGCTAGGTCATGTAAAAATGACAGAGCTTCATGGAATGGGTTTCCATGGCATCCAAGCCTTACATCACCAAGTGCAATGCAAAGCGTGGGATGCAGTGGTGTATAGCACACTGCCGCTGGACTGTAGAGCAGTGGAAACGTGTCCTCTGGATTGACGAATCACGCTTTTCTGTCTGGCAATCTAATGGATGTGTCTGGGTTTGGCGGTTGCCAGGAGAACGGTATTTGTCTGACTACATTATTCCAAGTGTAAATTTTGGTGGAGGGGGGGGATTTTAGTGTGTGTTTTTTTTTCGAGGGTTTGGCTTGGCCCCTTAGTTCTAGTGAAGGGAACTCCTAAGGCCTCAACATACCAAGACCATACCAAGACAAGTGAAAATGTCCACATTGGGCAGTTCTTCAGTGTTGTCACATGAAAAGATATAATAAAGTATTTACAAAAATGTGAGGGGTGTACTCCTGTGAGATACTGTATATATTAAAAATTTTTTATTTATAAAAAAATATATATATATATATATATATATATATATATATATATATTTTTTTTTTTTTTTATGCATTTTTCGGGGGGGTATTCCCTGTTTTAGCATTCCCGGTTATGATGCTGGTGGCCCAGAGGGTGCTGATAAGTCAACAAGCCTATTCTTCTCCCCATGCTGGTAGTTACCTACCTACAATGTACCATTTGTGACCGTAAATTCCTTTAACTGTTACTAGCTGGTTATTCCTATTTTATCATTTTTTTGCTTTTATGCGGGGGGATAAGCATTATCAAGTGGCCCTGCAGGTTTAGCACTACATGCATATCATCAAGTTCTTTGCATTTGCTGAATAAAGCTTTAAGGTAAAAAAAACAGATATCTTAAAAAAAAAAAACAATCAAAAACAAAACAATCAGCCATAAAAAGAAATTCTACTAACCATCCAGGACACAGCTATGCTTCCAAGAATACTACAGTTAGCACAGCTGGGCAGTGGCGTACTCCTCAACAGCTTCACCATATAAGTCCACCAAAGCAAGTGGGCACATATATCACAGTGTTAAATCCTTTAACTTAGTTAAAGCCTGCCAGCTGGTTAACCTCCTATTTTTCATTGTTTTAAGCTTTTACACTGTTCAACAGGTGCGTTAACTGGGGATAAGCATTATAGTTTCAAATGGCTCCATCCTGCAGTGTCGGCCATGGCAAATCTCTCTTGGAATAAGAAAGTTGAACACTACATGCATATCATCAAGTTCTTTGCATTTATAAACCAATAGAAAATTGCATAAATGATGCAATATTAGCTTTAAGCATCACTTCACTGTATAAAAAACTGTAGATATTCGACAGCGTCTTTACATTTCGTTTTAACTACTCAAAACTTGTGTGAAAAGCAGATAATTTCTGCTAAAAAACAATCTCACAAAAAAGGAGGATAACAGTGATTAAGAAAGCCTACAACTTGTATTTTGGCTGCAAGAAGGAGACCAGGACAAGAGCTGGGCACCACATATATGCTGCAATTCTACGGCACTGGAGCATGGTTGAATGGAAAAAAGGCATCTATGCCTTGGCTTCCAATGATTTGGACTAACAGATCATGTTAGTAATTGTTACTTTTGTATGGCCTCCAATTGTAAAAGGCTAAATAAGAAGAAAAAGTTATCTGTGCACTATCAAATATTCCATCGGCAATTCGTCCAGTTCCTCATGGAGAGGGGCTACCAAACTGAAGACAAAACATGAGAATCCCAAGTATAAAATATTCAACTTAGTGGCTATAATTTTTCTGCAATGGCAATTATTTGCCATTTAGGCTTTGTTATGTAGCAATATCACTTGAATAAAGACATCTATCTATATAATTATTGTGCAAATCTTACGCCTATAGTAGAAAACTTTCCTTTTAAGAAAAACTAGAGCCAATTGAACCTTATTGTTATATTGTCAGAATGTGAAATTCATTCAAATGGTTCTTTTGTTTCCAAAACTGGCAAAAAATAAAACATTTGTTAAACAGTGTTATTTGCCATAACAGCTTTTATTTTCAACAATCAATCTTAAAAACAGTGACATTACTGAAAATTATAGTTTTTTTGGCAAACGTATGCTTAAGGCTCTGTTCACACCAATGCATTATTTAGTGCTTTTGCAGAAACGGACTACAGTCAATTTAACATGGTTTCCTATGCAACTTGTTCACATTTTTGAGCTGCTGCGTTTTTGGAAAGGGTCACAGACTTTTTTCAAAGCAAAAAGGCAGCATTTTGCTGCAATAGAGTTCAATGGAGAAGTTGCTGAAATGCATGGTAGTGCGTTTTTGCCAAGTTTTGTGTTGTGCATTTTTATTCTGCCCAGCAACAAATAAAATTCCACTTTAACAAAAAGCTGAACAAAATGCAAATAGTGGTAAAAACACGTCAAAAACGCATGTAGAAAAACACAAAAACTGCAAAAAGCACTGGAGAAGCAAAACGCAAAAAGCATCTATGTGAACCAAGCCTTACACTTTGCATATGAAGGCACATTACAGAGTCTAAAATTTCATTTGAGATAGAATTGTGTCTATCTTTAAAATCGGTTCATGAATTTGCATTGTATTATACTTGTCTACTAGTGTAAAAAGGGGAAGGTTGGGGACCTGGAATAGGATTGTGACGGGAGCAACTTTTGGGGGTGGGGGGACCCCTGTATCATCTCCCCAAATCATTATGTTTAACCCACCCTGTGCCTGTTTAAGGGTATAGGGTGTACATGTGAATGTCCCAGTATTGTGCATTTGTATGTTGTCCTTTGTCTAGGCCACATGGCTGTCCATTGTCTGTTTGCCATGTGCTCCCCCATGGTGCGGTGTCTTCCTGTCCAGCCAACTATTATGGGATGTACTGTTTGTGTATTGGTGTGGGGGTTGGTCAATGTCCTTTGCCATGTGCTTCATCCCATTGTTCTGTGTCTGGGTGGGATGGGGCGGGCTGATGATGTATTTCCTGTTCCTGGTTGTGTTTCCCCGCCCTCTGTATATATCCTGTGTTTTGTGTTAAAATAAAGAGTTGGCTTCCTGTTTAAGAGAAGATGGGTGCTGTCTTTTTCCTGAGGGATTTCAAGGCGTGGTCCGTGGATGGTGTTCGGACAGGGGAAGTTGTGCTATAAACGGAAAAACTCAGTGCGGTCTGGGTTTCGGTACAAGGATCTTTTGGAAAATTTAAGAAAGGTTCTACAGCTGACATTTCTTGCATTGATAACCACCCAACTGGATTATACAGACTGACTGTATACACAGTCAGGTCCATAAATATTGGGACATCGACACAATTCTAACATTTCTGGCTGGTGATGTCTATGCGTTCCAGGCTTCAGGCTGTAATTGACTGCAAAGGATTTGCAACCAAGTATTAAAAAGTGAAAGTTTGATTTATGATTATTATTCTGTTCCATTACTTTTGGTACCTTAACAAGTGGGAGGCACATATGCAAACTGTTGTAATTCCTACACCGTTCACCTGACTTGGATGTAAATACCCTCAAATTAAAGCTGACCGTCTGCAGTTAAAGCACATCTTGTTCGTTTAATTTCAAATCCAATTGTGGTGGTGTATAGAGGCAGAAATGGTAGAATTGTGTCAATGTCTCAATATTTATGGACCTGACTGTATACATTGAATTTATAGATTTTTACATAAATAATACATGCTCGCTATGACACAAAATTTGCAAAATCCTGCACTTGCCTTTCTCCTACCATTTTTAGACTTTACCTTATTCAAAAGCTGACATATTTTTAAGGACATGTTGCCATGCTATTGGTGAATATGTTGGCGTTCATGCAGCTGTTATCCGGAGCAATGCTTATGACTGTCTGATCTATGTTCAACACTCCAAACATTTCAGTGCCCTTAGATTGTTTGACTGTATAGTGTATTATTTAAAAACTCAACTTTGTAATACAAGTCAGAATTATATATTTGATATCCCGTACCTACTCATTGTGTTATTTAGCTAAATATTTACAGTATATGCTCAGTTATATCTAAAAGGCCCAAAGTTCTCTTTACATTTTTCAGTTCTTACGTTCACATTTATTTCTTTAAGTTACTTGTTAAACCCTATTATAACGAGAAGACTATTCATTAAAATATAGAAATCTAAACTGAAGCTTTGGACGCAATACAGGAAGATTTAAGGATATAGACTGCTGTAAGCCAATAAAGGACATTGTATAAAGCATATGATTGGATGACTGCTGCAATCATCAGTTCAATTAAGCCACACTCAGTTGTGACTGTACTTGGCATCTGGCAGGCCACACACAAGCTGACTTTTCAGATTCAATGTAAGCTTGACAAACCAAAATGACAAGCACACACCATTCTAGGTGCAAAAAAAAAATGCTGACAACCGAGAGAGACGGAACATATATTAGGCATTCCTTTATAAAAAAAAAAAAAAAAAAAAAAAAAAAAAAAAAACTTTGAAGAATCTTTTGCAGACCTCTGTTTCCCAAAACTGGTCACAGAGTACGGAGTGATTTAGTTTAGGTAATATCTGTTCAAGTCACAGTGCAAGCAAGCAGAAACAATGGCCATTTAACCTAAACGTAGAATTAATCACCATTACATCATAATAATACAGCCAATTTATAATAGCAGCTGTAAGCAAATAAAATCTTGTTTTTATCAGGGATGAAGATAATTGTGTATTGTAGGGTCCCTATAAAAAAAATCATAAATGTATGGATTGCTCTGTCCAAGATTTGGTACATGGGGGGGCCCTTAGACTACCAGAGGATATGAGCCTGCGGGCTCCAGTTACATCATTTTTCTTCTGTTCTATAAATGACACATGATATGAGAATATGACATACCTAAATGGAAGAGAGAGAGTATGTCTCTTTTTGCCAATGTCTGTCATTGCCTCTCGCTAAGATAGCTCAAAGGAGGCCTGTCAGGATACAAACATCAGGACTGATTTGTTAAATATGCAAACCTTGAGGCTATCAATTTTATTCTTGCTTCATTACTTAGTGAGCTACTGACCTGGAACAACCATGCAGTCAGTGAAGCAAACCTGATATGCATATATTTATTCTAGGTCATTATCTTACCAAGTTGTTTTCTCACCTTTAAAGTGACTTTGTTACTAATTTAAAATAGCTTTTTTATTTATTTTTATAAGCAAGTAATATTTTCCTGTACCACTGATGGGTTGACAATAAAAACTTGCTCAAACATCATCTGCATTCGACACTTCCAGAAGTGCCGGCATCCCCTGTTGCATGCTTTGTGGTTTCCTCTGTTGCCTATAAGTGAATAGAGTACACAGGAGTTGGGGAAGGGAACTACAATGCACTGCAGAAGCAGGCACCAGGCATTCAACAAAATCAGAAGTGTACTTGATGCTAAAGAACTTTTAGCTAGGCTATGGCTGCCATACATTGTACAATTTACAATTGGTAAATTCCTTTTAGATTTACCAAAACCATATAACATATATGAGGTCAAACCTAAACACTTTCAATTTGTATGAAATCAGGCAGGCCCTTGCACTACATAGTAAAAAATAAATCTAAAAGGAAATTGAACACGAAAATTGTATAATGTATGGCCAGCTTATCATTTCAACCCAGTGGGGTTTGTTGCTAGTAGCACAGCTAATTGCTTGCTTTGCAGGAAGGCATTTGTTTTATAGTTCTGATTCCAAAACCTGTAAGATTTCTAGGTCAGTGATTTTGGCAAATTTGGAAATGGGAAATAGAAGTTGCCTCTTTGTGTTGTATGTGATTGTCAAGAAATCTTAATACAATTATCAATTGACAATTATTGTCAACACATCTTAATACAATTATCAATACATTTTGAACAAACAATAGGTGCAGAGCAGTTTAATTTTTAGAGTATAGCTCCCCACAGCAATCAATGAGATCTGTGTTTACAGACAATGCATCAATGAAAGATGAAAACTGATTGGTCACTATGGATAAAAAAAAAAAAAAAATTTGTATACTGTCCTTTCCCTGAAAACCGGAAAGAGTTAAAACCGATTTCCAGGGTGTTATGAATAGCTCTGCTTGGTACTGGGTGCATTTGGACAAGAAGGGAAACTTGCCAGTCTTAAGTCAAATTAATTGACTCAAATTGAATTTCAAGTGTTTTCCTGTATGATGGAACGTTTTCCAGGATTAATAAAAGAAACATCAAGTTCATGAAGTTTATTTTCACTCTTCTGCTTACCATTGTTCCTCTCAATACACAGGTTGACCTAATTTAAGAAAACTAGTAAATAATAAAACCAGACATAATAGATCTCAGAGATTCACAGTATTTCATACTTACAAATGTCAGGGTGGAAAGCGCCCCGAGGTAACAGACCACAATCAAAAGTAAGACAAACAATTCTCGACGCTTTCCCCATACGTGTGGGAACTCATCTAGAACGGCAGTTATAACCCCTTCCAGACCTGCAAACTGTACAAAGAAAAAGAATATGCATATTAATGTAATCTGTGAGATTAACTGTAAGGGACAATATTTCAATCACAAAGTGCTGAATGATGGGCTGAATCACCCCATCATCTGGATTTGGGACACCAGTGGGAGTTCCTGGGCTTCCCTATTCCTTAATAGTTTGTAAACTAAAATCTAGCAGGTAGACTGGGAACCTTTCGTAAAAGGGTTTGGAAAGAGTTGTCCCCAAGAAAGTGCTGTAAGTCTTTTACGTTATAACAGGAATGATACTTACCATAACAATCATGAGAAATACTATACCAACAACCAAATCAGTAACACTGGAAACAATAGTTATGAGCTGCTAGCACGTTATGAGATATTTATCACAGCAGACAATATATGCAAATTCAGTGCTGTGCTACAAATATATCACAAATTGAAAAAACAAAATAAAAGTGACCAAATTAAAGTCCTGTTTAAAGTGTTGCAAGAGAAAAATTCAGTTTTTAATATGGCCACCAATCCGTGTAAGCCGCCACCAACCCGAGAAGACTAAAGTCTGCTTACCAAATAGATAGGACTCTCTTGATTTATAGAATCATATAGTGCTTAGGATCGCATACAGATTCACTCTCTCAGTCTCCAAGCCTCTCCTTTTGTAAAGCTGGTCCTCCTTATGGGGGATATCGTCACAGGTCTCGCCTCCCAGTCAGGGATCCATGCGTGCGGGTAAGTACCAATAAAGAGAAGATCTAAAAGGCTCTAAAATTAAAGGCAAGGCAAAAAGAACATGCTTTGTATAAAATCTCCGATCCGAATGCCACACTTCCATTAAAACGTGATGATGTCACAACGGTTTACTGGAAGTGACCCTGAAGTGCAGCATTTTCAGAGATTTTATGCAGCACTTTTAATCTTGCTTTGCTTGTAAGTGCAGTTATAGTGGTTTTAATAAAAGTCAGTTTTCACACTATGTGGAGCCTGTGATCTTCTCTTTATTGGTACTTACTTGCACGCATGGATCACTGACCAGGAGGCGAGACCGGTGACAATATTCCCCCAGGAGGAGGACCACCTTTCTAGTGGGTGGTGCTTGAAGGCCGGGAGTGTGGATCTGTATGCAATCCTAAGTGCTATGAAGTGTTGAAGATTGAATTCTTCTCTTGCAACACATTAGTACATCAATTTGGACACTTATTTTGTTTTTCCAATTTGTGATATATTTGTAGCACAGCACAGAATTTGTATATGACAAATACTATGCCTTATGTTCAGTAGTGTTTAAGTGATACTGTGGAATTGTTTGCCATTGTAATTATGTAAAACTAAAAAAAAAAAAAAAAAAAAAAAAAAAATGAATACATGGCACAAGATCACACAAAATTTTTATTCACTTTGAAAAAAAATCGTATGCATTCAAATTTACATAGGTCACAAGCAGCACTGTATCACAGTCTGAAGCAGTCACCATGATCAGTGATTTTGCAAATTGTCACTTAATTTCTAACCTCCATAACCAATGCCAGTACTCCAGTATACCAGCAGCCAGAGCACAGCAATGATGTACCCCTGCCAACTTCCTGTTGAGGTGTTCAACAATGGCAACACGTTTCTGGCAGGTCCCCTTTGTCAAACCTGAACAAAGGTACTAGAAGGGGAAACACCCTAAAATGCATTTTTGTGTGATAAAATGCTAGCATGATCTAAATGTGAATGCTTTTCACACCACTTTTAAAGTGAATAAAGAGTTTTCCTGATATGTGTGCTTTTTGTTTTATGTTTTAGGGATATGCTGAGCATCCCTGTTTTGGCAAAAAATAAAAGCTGCTTTTGTATTACATTTTGCAGAATGGATTATAATTATATTTATACTAACATTCATATGAATATGTGTTGATTCTGCAGTCCAGTGATCCTGTTTGATGTAATGTGAAAGAAAGAAAAGAGGAAAAACAAATTCTCGATAATAAGTGTTTTGCTTTTCATCATAGCGTAAATCCACTGTGCTTAAGATGCATGCCATGTGTTGAAGGTCATTCATTTGGACCACTGCCTTTTTGCTGGGGATCTGAAGGTGGGGCATCTGCAGTTGATGAAACTAGAAAACCCCTTTAAGGCAGAAAATGTCTGGCTGAACTGATAAATCTAGGCAGTGTAAAGTTCTTGTAATGAAAGTAAAGAAAGTGGTTTACTCACCGTACTGTCCAGCCCCAGTGTAATCAACATCAGGAAGAATATAATGGCAAAGAAGGTGGATGCTGGCATGTTGGCAATGGCCTCTGCATAGGTGATGAACAGCAGACTGGGGCCTGGAATAAGAATTGAAATCTTATTCTCTATGCATCAGTACATTTACAACAGCTGTGAATCTCTAATATAAAACTTAGATCATGGGGTCCTTTATGAAAGGAAAAATAAATAAAAACAGAAGTGTTAACCCCTACCAAGAAAGGAGATGCATGCTTTAATTGTCCACCCACACAAATAGAGCAAGAGTATGATTGAGTTTAATGCGCCAAAACACATTTTTAGTTATACTAGTTTTCATAAATTGGTCACAGCAGTAGCATAACTAGTATAAGAGCAGCCTATAATACTGCTATCAGCACAGAAGATAGGGATGATTGGAGACAGGAAGATATTGCTATATTCTGAAATTCTGCACATGGTAGACAGTGCCACATCCATAACAATGGAATTTAAAAAACAACAAGAACCTAGAATTTTAATACACCATGCAGAACACATTGGGGTTGCTTTACTAAAGGCAAACAGACAGTGCACTTTGTAAGTGCAGTTGCTTCGAAGCTTAGTAAATGAAGGGAAGCTCTGTTGACTTCCATCATGTGCAAGCAAAAATGCTGGTTTTTTTTGCAGTTTTGTTTTCCTTGCATGTGATTCGGTATTGTTTGCAAAGTGAAGTGTACTTCATTTACTAAGCTCTAGAGCAGCTGCACTTGCAGAGTAAACAGTCCATTTGCTTTTAGCAAGTCAAACCCTTGGGTGTTGATTTACTAAAGGCAAATAGACTTTGCAATTTGCAAGTGTAGTTGCACTCATTTCCCCTAGAGCTTAGTAAATGCGAAAAAAAGTTATGCTGTTTTCCATCATCCAATCATGTGCAAGCAAAAATGCAGTTTATTTTCTTTGCACTTGAGTATTCTTTACAAAATGAAAATTTACTAAGCTTTACTTTACTAAGTTTTACATTTACTGAGCTCTGGGGAAAAGGCGTGCAACTGCACTTGCAAAGCGCACAGTCGATTTGCCTTTAATAAGTCCGCCCCACTGTGCAGTTTCAATAAAAACATTTTATGACAATATCCATAAAAATAGCTACATATATACAATGTCCATAAAACAACCCAGGCTATTGTTCTATATATAAATATTGAATACTTTAGTGAGACAACCCACATATGTTTAGAATGTCCATTTGTCTCCATCCAGCTATCATGGCATATAAATTACATATTGAAGAACAGCAATTTTGTATATAGATTACAACACTTCAACTACTGGCTTTCTAATCAAACACGGATGGCTCCACTCAATGTGTTGCGCAATCTATTGAAACTGCTTCAACAGGAGTATCGTTGGAGGTGAAATCGTATCTTCAAACACATGGAGTGGAGGCACTGATTGGCAACATAAAGGAGGTTCTGCCACCACTGAATACCGGCATAAAGGAGGTTCTGCCACCACTGAATACCGACATAAAGGAGGTTCTGCTACCATTGAATGCCAACATAAAGGAGGTTCTGCCACCATTGAATGCCAACAAAAAGGAGGCTCTGCTACCATTGCTTTGCTACCACTAAATGCTAACATAAGGGAGGCAGTGCAACCACTAAATGCCAATGTAAAAGGGATCATCCCACCACTGAACAACAATGGAAAGGAGGCCCTTCATCAATGAACACGTGAGCAATTCAACTGACTGCCTTGGTGGAAATTTGTTCAACGAGCAAGGTGCAATTTCTTTTGGTATTCAGTATGGACCCAGTAGTTATCTCTCAAATGCCTGTTGAGTCTACCAGTGATATGAATCTAATCCAGCTGCCTGTGATGCAGTGGCAACAATGCTGCACTGTTGCTGAATTCAGAGAAGAGTTGCTACACTCAAGTAGGCTGTTTCAGAGGGATGAAACCATGTTGCAGGAAGTGTGGCAATCAACATTGGCACTGCTTAGTTACCAGCCTGTAGCTTGTCAGTCAACATCTGACCACACCTAGTCTTGCCCACTGCTTTCATGATTGACAGCAGTGCCTCTGCTAAAACCCTCCCACTGTGAGCTGCAGTGTCTAATAGGGAAATTATGTGAGGAACAAATAAATGAGGACATGGCTCACTCAGAGTCTAAAGGCTTTTGTTTGCTTATTTACTTTATTAGGTCAGATCATCATTTAGAACCTGCATTTGGTTTTTTTTTTATAATAAAAATGTGTATATCAAATATTTAGGAATACAGATTGTTTTTTACTATAGTATTTGTTAAACCTGCTTTCCTTTGCCAGATTTATTTTTTATTTTATCGAGTTTATATAGCGCCAAAGGGTTTGCTCAGCGCTGTACAATAGAGGGGGGACAATACATGAAACAGTACAGCAACAACAAACATCACACAAGGGGTAAGAGGGCCCTACTCTTTCGAGCTTACAATCTAGGAGGGAGGGGGTAGAGGTACAGGAGGAAATGGCTGTGGGGGATGGAGTAGGAGGAGGGAAGGGCAGCGGCTGTTAGGTGAGGGTGGGGTAGGCTTCCCTGAAGAGGTGGGTTTTCAGGGAGCGCCTGAAGGTGCTCAGATGAATGTATAACCCACCTTATTCCTGTGTGAAATGTACTTGCCCTTTTGTGGCCAGATTATCAGTATGCTTTGGAAATCAACAACTAGGCCATAAATAGCCTCTCAGTCATGCTACAGGAAAACCAAACAATCTACAAAAGCTCTTTGAAATGATGTTTCATCCCAAGTCAAACTACTAAGAGGCCAACAACTGATGTCTCCTCTGTAGAGGACACTTGGCAGTAATTCAGTGCAAAGTTAATAGAAATCTGTGTGATGAACTGAAAGGATGATCTGTGCACATTTTCAAATGCTTACTGACAGAATATAACACACTCAATCACCTTTTTTGTAGATATATATGTGATTGTGGTCAAGTTAAAGGAATTCTGTCAGTAGAAAAACACTTGTGTTCCTTCTGAAAAAACTGTCTACTTGTCATGCTGATCCTCTAGCATCATTAGTTTCTAAGTCACTGGATTTAATATACTAAAGGAGAAGAGAATATTCACCTATTGCTGTAAAAAAGCAAAGCTGTGTTAACTTCAGTCATCCAGTTATGTGCATGGTATCTGCTGTTTTTTCCCCCTGCATAATATTGAGTACTAAAACTGATCCCACCTGCACTTTATTAAATAAAGTTGATCTGCACGTGGACATAAACTCTGAAAAATAAAGATCTGCTATTTTTTAACATCTAACTGTGCCAAAACTATGCCCTGAAAAGTCCTTTTGTCTTGAATTTCTCCTAAAAAGTAGCAGTGCCATTCCTGAGCCTCCGAATAACATATCTGACATGTGATATTATCTAAGGCACTGCTGCTTCTAATTGCTAGTGCGGTGCTTCTCACGGTTCTCCTTCCTGGAGAGGAAACTGTACCGGAGAGCCTGCAGTGAAGCATCTCCCTGCTTCTTCAGTCATTCTTTAGATCTGTGCTTCCTAGACTTTCTGCTGCTTCTTGAATATTCCTCTAGCAGGCATTGGATCACCACTTAGTAGGGCAGCTCTGACATAAGGAAGTAAAACCCTGCCCCTCTACCAGGATGACCATCTCCATACAGAGTGGAACAAGGCATGGTAAACCAATTACAAAGAAAAGTTCAGCTGCTGGGAGACCACAGGATATACTGGTGACATAGGTGTGCGCACAGGGTGTGTCGGCTGTGCCTGGGCAATCCCAAATCATCCTGTTCGCATTAGCATTATTGGTCTGTGTGCCAGTGGGGAGATGGGAAAGATCTCCCACTGTATGGTTCTGCTTATAAGAGCAGTGTGGAAGCATCTCTCACTCTGAATCGGCAGGCAGGAAGACAATGTGCCAGCGGGGCAGAGTGCCGCAAGGAAGAGTGTATGTACAGGTGCATTTCAATAAATTAGAATAAGTACCTGTAATAATATAATCAAAAAGTTAATTTATTTCAGTAATTCAATTCAAAAAGTGAAACTCATTATATAGATTTATCATTACGCACAGAGTGATATATTTCAAGCATTTTTTCTAATTTTGATGATTCTGGGTTACGACTAGTGAAAACCCACAATTCAGTATCTCAGAAAATTAGAATATTGTGAAAGTTCAATATTGTAGATTCATGGTGTCTCACTCTAATCAGCTAATTAACTCAAAACACATGTGAAGGTTTCCTGAGCCTTTAAATGGTACCTCACTTTGGTTCAGTAGGTTACACTATCATGGGGAAAACCGCTGACACAAGCAGGGTAAGTCACAAAAGGACATTGCTAAAAAAGCTGGCTGTTCACAGAGTGCTGTATCCAAGCATATTAATTGAAGGTTGAGTGGAAGGAAAAAGTGTGGTACAAAAATGTGCACAAGCAACAGGGATAACCACAGCCTTGAGAAGATTGTGAAGCAAAGGCCATTCAAGAATTTGGGGGAGATACACAAGGAGTGGATTACGGCTGGTGTCAGTGCTTCAAGAGCCACCACACACAGATGTATACAGCACATGGACCACAACTGTCGCATTCCTTGTGTCAAGCGCTCCTGAGCCAGAGACAATGTCAGAACAGTCTTACCTAGGCTAAGAAGAAAAAGGACTTGACTGTTGCTCAGCGGTCCAAAGTCCTCTATTCTGCTGAAAGTAAAGGTTGCATTTCATTTGGAAATCAAGGTCCTGGAGTCTGGAGGAAATGTAGAGAGGCACAGAATCCAAGTTGCATGAGGCCTGGTGTGAAGTTTCCACAGTCAGTGATGATTTGGGGAGCCATGTCATCTGTTGGTGTTGGTCCACTGTGTTTTATCAAGTCCAAAGTCAGCACAGCCCTCTATGGGGAAATTCTAGAGCACTTCATGCTTCCCTTTGCTGACCAGCTTTATGGAGATGCGGATTTAATTTTCCAGCAGGACTTGGCAACTGCCCACACTGCCAAAAGTGCCAATACCTGGTTTAATGATCATGGTATCACTGTGCTTGATTGGCCGGCAAACTCACCAGACCTAAACCCCATAGAGAATCTGTGAGGTGTTATCAAGAGGAAGATGAGAGACAGCAGACCCAAC